AAAAAAAAAAAAAAAAGACAACTTTTGAGTTTATTGACTTGCTACTGTTGCTTGCTACTGTTGTGCATGTACATATGTATTTGTTACTTTCGGTTTAATATTTCAAAGCTAACATTATTATATCATATACATTTTGAAAGTTACTATGTTTTCGGACTTTTAAAAAATTTTTTCTTTTTTTAAACCTTAATTTAATTAATTTATTTATATGTGGTGCTGAGGATTGAACCCAGGGCCTCACATGTTCTAGGCAAGTGCTCTACCACAGAGCCACAACCCCAGCCCGCTGTTGTCGGACTTTTCAATGGATTCAAAGAGTGTACTGGGTTGTAACTCAGTGGTAGAGCATTTGCCTCCCATGTGTGAGGCCCTGGGTTTATATCCCAGTGCCACATAAAAATAAATAAATAAAATAAAGATATTGTGTCCACCTACAACTAAAATTTTAAAAAATGTATTCTGACTAAATAAGGTTTTTCATTATTTGTTTACCAGTACCCTAAATTAGTATCTAAAATATTAGTAATTTACTAGCATCAAATCCTGAGAGTACAACTTTCTTTTCTCACTTTATGTTCTGTATATTTAGCCCTTATTAATCAAGTACTAATGTTACTCATATTTTGTGAAGTGAGTATTATGGAAATTCTCTGAGACTTCTGATCATATAACATGCTTTTTAATTGTCATTTTGTAAATCTTCTGGAATCAATGCTACTCTTCTAATCAGAAAACAAATCCATTATTCAAAGATGAAAGGAAAAGGTTTAAGGTTTTCTCAGCTTTTAAAAATAAAAAAAAAAACCAAAAGAATTATTTCCGGCTGGGTGTGGTGGTACTTGCCTGTAATCCCAGCAGCTTGGGAGGCTGAGGCAGGAGGAATGGGAGTTCAGAGTCAATCTCAACAAGAGCAAGGTGCTAAGCAATTCAGTGAAGACCCGTCTCTAAATAAAATAGAGGGCTGGGGATGTGGCTCAGTGGGCGAGTCACCCTGAGTTCAATCCCTCCATATCCCTCCCCCCTCAAAAAAGAATTATTCCCAGTGGAAGTAGTGCTTTGATAGAGAGCCAAAATGACAGTCTCATCTTTTAGAGCCCTTTTTACATTGTCTTGTAAATGTTTCTTTGTATATATCTTTCTCTCTTATAGTCCAGTTGTTCCCCCAAATAAGTTTATACTTTTATTCATGTTTATTTTTCAAATTGTCTTAAATATTTTGTCTATTTATGTTTTATAATAGAAATAATAGAATACTGTATTTAGGTAAATATTCTGGAGAGAATATTTTCAAATTTTAATTGATATGATTCTAAACTTTTTTTGGGAAATCATTGCTTTAGATTAACTGGACTCACAGACTAACAGAAACTAATGGGAGTAAAGTAACTTGCCTGGGGTCTCACAGCTAGTATGGGAAAGTAAATATTTTACCTCAGGTTTTCCTAATTCCAAAGGTCGTGTACCTAAATTGCCTGACATTCTCTAAGACTCCATAGAAGTAGTTACTGGATGTTGTGATGCTGAGGAGTGATATTCATCAAGTTAAAATCATTGTTCATTCAGCAAAAATTTATTAAGTGCCTATTATTTGCAATGCAGTGTACTAGTAAGTCTGAATTTACTTAAGGCAGGTCAATCTCTGTTTTATTTTTAAATTTTTTTCAGTTGTTGATAGAACTTTATTTTTTTTTAAATTTATTTTTATGTGGTGCTGAGAATCAAATCCAGTGCCTCACACATACTAGGCAAACACTCTACCACTAAGCCACTACCCCAAACCCCAATTTCTGTTTTCTTTAGTCTTCTGTCCACAGTGTCTAACTCCCTAACACAGTCTCTGGATATTCATATAAACACAAACAGACCTATATATGCATACATATTTCTAGTACAGTAAATCTTTGTTGAATGAATGAATAAAATAGGTGAGAAACAAAAAGACATTTACTGCTCCACGAGAATTAAAGTTGAGTGGGAAGAGAGACATTAAAAAATTAAAATACAATAAATGTATTATGTCCATCTACAACTGAAAAAAATTAGAAATAATTAAAGTATAATAGATGTGCAGTTATAGTAATAGGACATATAAAAAGTATGATACATAAAAGAAAAAAATAAAAACTCTACTCTTAGAGTGGGGTTATGGTTCAGTGATAAAGCATTTGCCAAGCATGTGTGAGGAGGCACTGGGTTCAATTCTTAGCACCACATATAAATGAATAAATGAATAACTGAATAAATAAATAAATAAATATTAAAGGTCCATTGACAACTAAAAAATATTTAAAAAACAACAAAACCAAAAAATAGTCAAAAAACTCTACTCTTTTAAGAGAGAACATTTAAAAAAAAGAAGAAGAAGAAAGAAAATGTATGCTGGTGATGTGCTTCAGGAGTAGAGTACTTGTCTAATATCCATGAGGCCTTGGGTTCAAGTCCCAGGATGCAACAGGAAAAAAGAAGCAAGTCAGAGATTGGAGAAAATATATCAAATAGATCACCTATCTGATAAATGACTTAAATCAAGCACATATAAAAAAACTCTTAAAACTTAATAATGAAAAGACTCCATTAGATGATTTTTGACAAGGGTTTCAAGACCGTGCAATGCAGAAAAGATGGTCTTTTCAAGAAGCAGTACTGGGGAACTTGGATAACCACATGCAAAAAATTAATGTTGGATATACAAAATTAACTCAAAATGGATCAAAATCTAAATTTAATACCTGAAACTTAAAGAGTATTAAATGTAAACATAGGAGCAAAGCTTTAGGACTCTGAATTTGACAGTGAATTCTTGCATATGACACCAAAAGTACAGACAAGATAAACTAAGTAGGTTGGAACTCATAAAAATTAAATTTTTTTTGGCATCAGTGGGCGCTATCAACAGAATGAAAGCAGACCCACAAATGGGAACAGATACTTGGAAATCATAAATTTAATAAGGATTGAGTTCTAGGGTGTATAAAGCACAGCTTAACAATGACAAGCAAAGCATAACAAAAAACGTTAAAAAAATAAAAGTGATTCAAAAATCAGTGAAGAACTTGAATAGATATTTCTACAAAGAAGATATACAAATGGGACAACAAGCATGTAAAAAGATGCTCAGCATCTCTGGTCATTAGGGAAATGCAAATCAAAACCACAGTGAGACACCACTTCATACTCATCAGGATGGCTATTATTTAAAAACACACAAACTACAGAGAACAAGTGTTGGGAGGAACGTGAAGACATTGGAATCCTTGTGCATTGCTGGTGGGAATGTAAAATTTTGCAGTTGCTATAGAAGATACCAAGGCAATTACTTAGAAAATTAAACACAGCTTCCATATGATCCAGCAAGACAATTTCTGGGTATATACCCAAAAATGTTGAAAGCAGGGACTTGAACAGGTATTTATGTACTCGAGTTCATGGCAATATTATTCATAGTAGCTAAAAGTGGAAACAACCATAATGTCTATTGACAAATCAATGAATAAATAAAATGCGGCATATACAAACAATGGAACATTAAAAAGAAAGACATTTTGGTACATGCTGCAACATAGGTACCTTGAAGGCATTATGCCAAGTGACATAAGTCATTCACAAAATGATGAATATTGTATGATTCCTCTTTTGTGATGTTCATATGAGAATTTATAAATGGCTAATAAGCCTGTGAAAGGTGCTATGTCATTAGTCATCCAGGAATGAACTACTGCTGTAGCCCACTAGAATAGCTATATTCAAAAAGACAGATAGTGCCAAGTGTTGGCAAGGATATAGAGAAACTTGAGTCCTTGTACACTGCAGGTGGGATTGAATAATGGTACAGCCACTTTCCAAAGTTAAACATAAATGTATGGAGCGACTCAGGGGTTCTATTCCTAGGTATCTACATAAAAGAAATGAAAACATTAACACAAAGGCTCTTGTATGTGAATGCTCCTAGTGGTATTATTTATAATAACCAAAAAATGAACCAGCCTATATGTTCATTACTTGATAAATGGCTAATGTAATGTGATATGTACATAAAGTCAAATACTGTTCAGCAATAAGTAGAATGAAATAGTGATACACACTAAAACTTGGACAAACCTGAAGATACATGTGAGCAAGAGAATCTAGATACAAAAGATAACATATGATATGAAATTTCTAGAAGAGGCAAATCTCTAGAGACGGAAAGTTTGTCAGTAGTCATTGGGTTGATATGTATGAGTATAAGTGAGGATTAATTATAATTAGACATGAGGAAGCTTTTGGGGATTAATAAAAATGTTCTAAAACTGGCATGTGATATTTGTACAATTGTACAAATTTACTAAAAATCATTAAAGTGTTTAAAAAAAAAAAACTTGATGAGAAATATCGAATGCGTGCCTAGAAAACCCAGGAGTCTCCCAGAAAGCATCAGTTTCTAATAGCATGAGTAAGGGTTTAGGATTAATGTAACAAGAACAAGAAAAGAAGGTGTTCAGTAGAGTAGAGCAAGTGGATCTTTCCAGGAAAGGTACTAGAGAAAGAGATAGATTATTATGTCAGTGTGTGTGAGTGTGTGTACGCGTGTGCATGCACGCAGCCATATGCACACGCATGTGTGTTAGGAATATGACTTAATGGATCCCACTGTTGTGTACAGTTCACTCCACCAATTACAAAAAAAAAAAACATTTGAAGAAGGAAAAAATTAAAAGATTTCAGGAAAGAAAATAGCATGTACCAATGAGAAAGAGAGCATGGTTTATTCAGGGAATTATAAGAACCATTCTTCAGTATGAATTAATGTTGAAAATGATCAGAAGAAAGAGTATTTAAAACTAAAACTAAAGAGTATTAAAAAAAAAACCGTGACTCTTGAATAGAATCATGTTATTTCTGTTTACTTTTTAATATCCAGTCAATGTGTAAGCCCTTTCTGCTATATACTATGTAATGCCTCTGTACCCCTGCCCCTCGCAGAGTCTCCCCTGTGTGTTTGCTACCCCTCTCATAGCTCTTCCATCATGATATTATGTGCTTTCTTCTGAGACTCTAAGATCTTTGACAACAAGAAGCAAGCATGTTTTCTTCAATTTTATAATTGCAGTGTCTGGCATGATGTTTGGCACACAGTACATGCTATAGTAAATTTGCTTCCAAAATTTTCAAAGAAGGGCCAGCAAAGCATAGATCAAAGGGTTGGAGGGAAATGTGCATGAAGGTAGCCTACACAAAACACTAGAAGGAAACAAGTGAAATTTAAAAATCTTTTAAATGACTTGGATTTGAGTTGACATAATAATTCCTCCTCCAGATTTTAAATTCTGATGTCTACCTTTCCTTGTTTCTTTTCTCAGAATTTCAGAGCTGGAAAAGGCACTTAGGCTTTATGCACTTTGTGACCTTGAGCCAAATAATTTAAAATCTTTCTGACCCCAAATTTCATCATCTGTAAATAAAGGAATAATACATACCTCATTGTTATAAAGATTTAATGATGTAACATTTATGAAATTCTTGTGTTCACTTCATAGAATTAATCCAGTAGGTGGCTAGAAATGGCAAACCAAATAAATTATCCAAAGTTTACCACAACTGTATTGGCTGTATTGAGGTTAGAATCTGATATCTTGAATCCTAATCCAGTATTTCCACATTGTTATGGTTGGTACTTCTTAGTTCTTTTTTATTTGCTTTTTCCAATTTGACATGGGTTGGGTAACAAAATTAATAAGAATGTATTTACTCATTCAATACATGCTTCTTAAGAATTGTTATAGCTGGGCACAGTGGTTCATGCCTGTAATTTCAGCTATTCAGGAGGCTGAGGCAAGAAGATTGTAAGTTCAAGACCAGCCTTGGCAACTTAGCAAGACCATGTCTCAGAATTAAAAAAGGATTGATGATGTACCTCAGTGGTAGAGCACCCTTGGGTTCAATCCTCAGTACTGCCAAAACAACAGCAGCAACAACAACAACAAATGCTATATTCAATTGATAGTGGTATTATAGAAAAATAAATGAATAAGAAATGGTGTTTGCTCACGAGGAGTTTGGTGTCTAGATGGCAAAAGATAGACCTTCCAAAAAAATATAAACTGAAGTGTTAACTTAATGGTGAAAAATAAAGATGATGTAAAGAGGACTTAAATTGCATATCTCAGAATGGGAAAATCTGGGGTCAAGTCTTTATAAAGCAGGTAAACAGATGTGAGGTAGGTAATCACCAGGTTGAAGGAACTGGGGAATGTGAGAATGACTGGGTTTTTTTGCTTTAGAATTTTCATGGAAGGTGGTGTCAGAACACTCTGTGAAGAGGTCAAAGGTCTAGTTTATTTGCAATAGAAACAGGATTCCAGAGGATACAGTGAATTAGACTTGGTATAAAAAAGAACATAGGCTATGAAGTCAGTGGATAGGAAATACAAAGAAACATAAGGATAAGAGAAGGTAGCTTAAATGACCTTCTAGTTCCTATTGTAGATTTGAGTTAATTACTTTTTCAGCTCTTATGTAAAAGCTCTTCAGGGCTGGGGTTGTGGCTCATTAATAGAGTGCTCATCTAGCATGCATGAGTCACTGGGTTCCATCCTCAGCACCACATAAATGTAAAATAAAGATATTGTGTCCACCTATAAAAAAGCTCTTGAGGGTGTTGCCATCTGAATATTATCAACTTTTTGCTACAATCATTTTTGTTATTATCATACAACTCTTCCAGATATAGTATCATTTATTAGTGTTTTGGGTAACTGGACAATCTTCTATTCTTGTTCAGTTCATGAATGTTATATGAATATTGAAAACAGTACTGGAAGTTGAAGAAATTGCAATTTGGTATATGTGTGCTCTTAATTCTCTATATATTCAATGTCTTTGTGTGTGTGTGTATGTATGTGTAGGTTAAGTGTATCTTTAGAATACAGTATGAAGAGGTCTTGTATATTCAAAGGCCTGTTGAAGAAGACAGAAGGAAATTTTTCCAGGAACTGATTCTCAATCAGGCATCAATGCCACCACCACGAAGGAAACACACTGGTAAGTTCCTAAAGCTGTTAGGAAAATAAGGGAGCATGGAGTTAAGAACTACACTTTCTTGGAGTCAATTTTTTTTTAATCCTTTCTTTATACAAGTGAAGACAGTTTGTTAGATTATTATTTATTTTTAAAAAGTGGCCATTGTCTTTACCTGACAGATTGGGAAGTATAGCCTCATTAAAGCTTTGTTAAAAGAGAACTTCTCATCCCTCTCATCCAGATCCTCAGTTAGATTTCCCAGGATGTGAACTGGTACACTGTGAATACCAGGTGTTGTGCTAATGACTTTGTGAACCAGGGTAGGTTAAATTCGCTGGTTAGAACATTAGTCTTTCTTTGTTTATTTATTGATTTTTCAAATACCTATTTAGCAACCATTATGTAGCATTTGGCCTATCATAGCTTTGTTTTAAGCATTAGATTTTTCTTGGATTCAAACTCATAGCTTTAAGAAGGGTTTAAGAATATGTCAGATTTCAGTTCCTTATTTTAGGTAAGGACTGCATTCTGAATCACTCAAAAAGATTTCTTTTCCCATTTTTGAAGATGCATAAAGGAGAAGATTGGCTTTCTTAATCTTTCAGCCTCTTCTTTAAAATAGCAATTTTCCCGCTTTCCCCTTGTTTTTTCAATGTTTCTTGTGTCCTTGTAGGATATTAATTATATTTCCCATCCCTGCCAAATTTCATAATTTTCTCCCTTTTTGTTTTTCATTGGTTATATTATTTAGCATTTTGATAATTTTGCCCTTTTTTGGCTCCTTTCCAAATTTTCTCAGTGTTTTAATAATGAACGCCTATCCAGATTGCTATAGTTGTGGGTCTTTTTCTTCAAGAAACCTTGGGAAATTCATTATGTAAGTTATACTCTCTGATTATTGGTGTGGCTTCCTGTGAAAATAAATATCAGTATTTTAAATATTTCATCATAAAAATGATTCATTTTAGTCCTTCATACACTTAGATATATTTTTAGTTCCAAAACTCTGAATTTTTTTGTTTAAGGTTAGTGTAATTCTTTTTCTTTTTGAATTGCTTCTGTTGACTTTTGCTTTCATCTTAACAGCTATTTAGAAATTAGTAAAAATATGTATCATTTTAATCCTGAGTTTCAGTGTCATGACAGAAAGATTGTATTATGTTTAGGAAAGTTAATATTTTACCTTCTAAGAAGATTTCTGGTTTGTCTTAGGGTACATACTATTATACATATAACACTTTAGACTGGCTTCCCATCTCTTCAATGACTTTGGGATTCCTTTTTTAGTTTCTACTTTTTTTGTTGTTGTTCCTTCCTTAAAAGTGTTATTTACTATCCCTACTTTGTAGTGGTCAGAATATCAGGGTAAAAGGACCTGTCTTAAATTATAATTCTTTTGGGGATAGGAGGTATCAAAAAATTGTCACTTGCCCACTAGATTTCTCATATATGGCTCCTCCATTTCAAGAAGCCCCATATATGGCTACAAGGTTGGCTTAAGAAAATCTGTATAATATTTTAAGGTATTTATGTTAATTTGAAGTATTTTTTATAAGTTGTATGTAATTAACATTACAAATTATTTAAAATCATGTAATTTGTCCTTTAAAGGGGTCCTATTGTGAGTTATTTTATAAAATGAAGCCAAACTTTTTGTTTCTATTCAAATTTTTACTTGCTGGATTTGCATGGCTCACATATATCTAAAATTCTCCTTCTCTTTAAAGAATATTTTGAGAGGGTACCAGAAAAGTGATTGAGGTTCCACCCTGCTGGGATCTTAACATTTTTTTCTCTTTTATTTAGCTCTTTGTGCTATGGAAGTGCTTCCTCTTGCACTACCTTCTCCACCTCGTCAGTTGTCAGAATCAGAAAAAAATCGGATGGAGGACCAGGAGGAAAATACTTTAAGAGAATTGCGGTTGTTTCTCAGGGATGTAACCAAGAGGCTGGCCACAGATAAACGCTTTAACATCTTCAGCAAACCGGTGGATATTGAAGAGGTCTTGTTTCAGTAGTGTGCAAACAGTGAAGTTGAACTGGCTAAAAGAAAAAAAATAATGACATCTTTTTTTGGAAGGAAAAAAAGCAAAGGCATGGATGAATATTACCCCTAGCCTGTAAAATTTTAATCCAAGTGATAACTATCAATGTCATCAGCAAACATCTGGTGACTTTTGGATGAAATGAGTGACCAATTTGTATATGTCCTCTTAATTATTATTGATCTTTGTGATCTCATACTCTTTAAGAGGAGGATTAAAGGTTATTTTAATGAAATGTCCATACTACACTATTTTTATTCCAGGATAAATCCTGCTTTCAAAGAGTATATTAGTATTAACCAATTAGCACCAATTAATATTGGCATTTCCCAAATTATGTTTACCTCATTGAAAGAGGTGCCTGAGGAACCTGAAAATTTCTTTATCTTTCATATTTTGGAAATGCCTGTAGCTGTGATGCTGTTTGAAATTAAGCACATCTGATGCACCTAAAACTTTCTCTCCAAGGATTTTCTCTGCTCCCAGTGGAAAATTTCTCACTTTCTATATGTATTGTTTTGTGTGCTTGTGGGAGCATGGTTTGTCATAACGAGAAAAGGAATTTTCCATTTGGAATCTACTGTAATACTCTCGATTAAAAATTTTTTTTTTTAAATTTTATCCTGGGATAATATAGTGTGTGGATGAATACAATGTAATCTTTACTGGCCTTCTTAAAGTTCAGACTCCATGTTTGAACAGCTTTGGTGTTTTTAGTTTTTAAGTTTTTTTTTTAATTTCTTTTTTTTTTAAACTTGAATTATAAAATGATTCAGAGTTTAATGTTGCGTCCTAATTGTGAAATCTGTGCTTTTGGTGAGCAGATTCCTTTGGATCCATTACCTCATCTATGACTGTGAAGAATGAGTTAGCATTATCCTTCATTCCCCCACCCCTGGCAAGTCTAGCAATACCTATTTTCCAATTCATGGAATAAAGAGACTATCTAAAATTTTATTTGAATATTTTATCTGCAGTACATAGCTTTGTTAATTTGCTCTTGCAGGGTCGTTATTATTCTTACATTGCAACTGAGGAAATTGAAACTTTTTGGCAAGTGATATAGCCAAGACTTGAAAATTTTTTTGAAAATTCAAAGCCCACATTCTTGTATTTTAAATATATTTTTAAAATATTTTTTTATATATTGATGGACCTTTGTTTTATTTTATTTATATGAGAGTCGAACCTAGTGCCTCACACATGCTAGGCAAGTGCTCTACCACTGAGCCACAAACCCTGCCCCAGAGCCCACATTCTTTACGTTATATCATGGCTCCCTTATATCTTTTCCCACTAGAATAACAGGACATGCCTAATTTGCATTTTAATTAATAAATAGCAAATTATATTTGTGGAGCATTTTTCTCCTAGTGTGTTTAGATAATCTTAAAATCAGCAACCAGTTTGGAAGATTGTTTTAAATAAGCAAAGAAAGCCCTCTCCACTTTTATATTTGGATTCTGACACTTTTTAAAAGCATAAGTCAGTTTCCTCTGCTGGGAATAAATCAGTTTTGCTTTTGCTCAAGAAAACTCTTTTCTTTCTAATCAGAAAAGATTGTCAGATTTTAAATAATATCTGTCTGTAATAAAATGAAAGTTTTATAAATCATGGTAAAGCAGTGCAAGAGAATAGAAATACTGATCAGATATTAAGTTTATTAAGGGTTTGCTTCTCTTATTTTCTTCTTCGTTCTTCTCAGGTTCACTCTGTTGCTGGTTTTTGTCTGCTCTTAAAATTGAATACACAGGAATATATGGAAAGGATAGAGAGGGGAAAGCAGGCTAACACTGAGATAGCCTAAAGCATAAACGTTATGTGCTGATAATGAATTTAAAGTGTCTAAAAACTTTCTTCAATTCCAAAACAAACTGCAAGACTTCAGAAAAATAAAACCTTAGAGACTTTCAAGTTTAATATTAAGCATATGTGCCTAAATTACATAGGCTTTATTAAAGTATTACTATACTTTTTCTAGTGTTTTTCAGTAATTTCTACTTGTACACAGACCATGCCCGGAACCAAGAGTCCAACTATCTTCTGTGGCTCCATTGATGCCCTAAAAGAGATTAACTGGGGCTGGGGATTTGGCTCAAGTGGGAGTGTGCTCACCTCAAATACATGAGGCACTGAGTTCAATCCTCAGTACCACATAAAAATAAATAAGTGAAATAAAGGCATGCTATCTACAACTAAAAAATACAACTACAAAATAAATATAAAAAAAAGATTAACTGGCTTTTTAGCTCTAAGAGACTGAAAAATAAATTAATTCACACATATCCATACTTAATATTTGTATAAGTAATCTTGAAATTTGAAAAACGTATTTACAAATTATACATATGCATCTGTGTACACCTGTGTATCAACTTAAAAATCATGGCATTGATGCCATCTGAAACCATGAGGAAACCAACCCTAATTTTCACAGAGTAGAAATTGCCCTGTGTTCAGAAATCAGTTCTTATAGATACTCTTGCAAGATTGCTTTTATATCAAACCCTGTTATTTTATTTGATTTGAGATTTGCAATAGATAGGTATGTTGAGAATGTTTTCTTTTTTGGTTAAGAGATATAATATCTCTTATTTTGGGTTATCTCCCAGAAAATTGGCATCTAAAGCAAACAAGTTTTTATTTTTCTTTGTAGATTTGTTTATATTAGAGACAAGTCCAGCAAATCTTTCACTAATTATAGAAACAATACTGAGTTTTGTTATTTTATTGATTCAGAATGTTTGTAATGACTCCAAAGGAGTGGAAAATACTTTCCATGAAACAATTCACTGTATAAAACTACAAAAGAAAACTTTTGCTGAAAAATTTAAAAAGATTTACCGGAAGAACTTTGCATTTTATTTTCCTCTGTTTTTTTTTCTTTTCTTTTCTTGAGATAACATTTAATGATGTTTATTGGGTGCTTTTACCCATACATTCTCTTCTCAGATAAACCCAAGGATTAAAAAATAATACTAAAGGTATCAATGTTTCAAATTTCAAGATGAGCAACATTTCAGAGTTGATTTACATCTGACTTAAACTGAAGCTTTTCATGGAAAGTATGTTAGGGAATAAACTTAATAACATAAGTAGCATTAAATTTACTCTTATGTATACTTATTTCTTGAATATCTAGATTTAATTTTTGAAGAATTAGTACTGTTTGAACTAATAGATCATATGAAAATTTTAAATAATTTTCATTAAAATATTCTGGTTTTTTTTTTAGGTTTCAGATTATCTTGAAGTAATCAAAGAACCAATGGATTTATCAACAGTAATAACTAAAATTGATAAACATAATTATCTTACTGCTAAAGATTTCCTGCAAGATATTGACCTAATCTGTAGCAATGCTTTAGAGTACAATCCAGATAAGGACCCAGGAGGTAAGAATCCTTAGCATCAGGTACACTTTGATATTGGGATTTTCTTCAGATTAATGGAAAACTGAGCAAATGAGAATTCAATTCAAAAACTCTATTTATTTATTTTAGTCAGCATCAGTAGACCTGATGAACACAGGGAATTTTGAATTTGTGGGAAGCTACAGTAGGATAAGTTTATATGTCAGAAAACTTTTCTGTATAGAATGATACCTGTTCTATAGGTATCATTAATACCATTCTATAGGCATCATTAATGTAATTTTATTATTTTATTCCTAATCCCAGTTTATACTTAAATCTTGTTATTGCTTTCTAGGGAAGTTCACCAGAGATATAACTATAGTTAAACAAGATAAGTTGATAGTAAACAAAGAGGATTTTTATAGCATGAAAGGTTGTGCATCATGGGGAACCATATGGGGTTTGTGCCTGTTAAGTAATTGGATAAAGTGTAAGAGAGTGGGACTTTGCAAGGAATTGGATGCTATTAGGAAGTAGGATAATTTTGAGAATGGGATATTTTAAAATCCTAGACAGGAAGAAGAATGGAGCAGGGCTAAAGTTGTAATTGGTAAAGGAATAGCAGTCATTCATATTAATGCAAATAGGATTATGGTTAGGTTCTTTTTTTGGTTAGGGCAATGCTCATAATTTGTCTATGTTTAGACCTGATTGCAGAGTAGGCTTGCTATTGTCTTAGCCCATCACGATGATGCAACTGGCCTTGTCTGATGCTGCTATTTTGCAAAGTTGTTCATGTTTTACCTGAATACACAGAAGCCAAGCTTAGAGTGCCATGCCAACTCCCAGCTCTCAGGAGCAGTTTTTTCTCATTCTATTATTGAGAATTCTGTTTCTTTAAGACATCATACACAAGTAAAATGCTTCTTATTATTAAAACATGAAGTTTCTATCATCTAAAGATATTTTAAAGTACTTTTGTATTTTGGGGTAGTGAGTTTCAACCTAGGTCATGTATTAGAATGACTTGGATTTTTCCTGAATTTAGACCATGCTAGTAAGTTAAATATACTAATTCCAAATTGAGAGGCATAATAAAATGTTTGTCTAGCAGAATTTGGTATTTAACAGTTCCTAAGGTTTGTATTAGCATTTAACTCTTAAAGCTTTTGTTTGCTTACTTTGCTTTTTGAATCTTGATTTTATGTATCTTACAGAAAAACTTATGAAAACTAAGAACCAAAGGAGAAAAGTAGAATAATTGGCAATCCTATCCTAGTGTTATTCCTTCCCCTTACCCCACGAATGTATTGTACATCAAATATATACTGCATTTTTTTTACTAAAATGACTATATGACTTGTATAAAATTTGTCATTCCTTTAATATTTTATTAAACAGCTTATTCATTAATGAATATATTTATCCCATGTTAAAAAAATGAAATATAATAGCCAATACCCTATTATTGGCCATATTAGGTATTTTAGGTTTTTTTTTCCTGTAAAAACAGTGATAAATATTTTTACAACACATGTTTGGGGTACATATTTAATTATTGCCTTATAGTAAATTATTAAGAATGAAAAATTTTTGGATCAAAGAATATGTATCTTTTTTTTTAACGATTTGTTTTTTTGTTGTAGTTGGACACAAATACCTTCATTTTATTTATTTATTTTTATGTGGTGCTGAGAATTGAACCCAGGGCTGCATAAATGGGAGGCAAGTGCTCTACCACTGTGCCAAAATCCCAACCCCAATTATGTATCCTTTTAATGAAGATTTTCAATCTGTAATATTAAATTTTTCTCTTAAAAATGTTTTAAATTACTTATATGAGCAGCATGAAGAACAAACGAGAAAAGTAAAATAATTGGCAATTATTTTACTGTTAGCTAATGTAGCAGTTTTGTGTGTGAGAGAGGAATCTCCTTTAGCATGTATGTCATTTCGCAACAGGATAGGTTGTAAGAAATGGGCTGCATGCCAGCATACTTCCTCTCCTTTGCCTTGCTGGGGTCTTCTGTTGTGGACAGATTGCACAAGTGTCTGCATGGGGTTTTGAACAGTATATGAGAGAACTTGTGTGCCAACGCCTTCAGCCTGTTAGCTCTTTAGGATCTTAAGACTGTTGATGTTGTGTAGAATGGATGCCGGGATGTGGGCTCTGTATTTAGACCTGGACTTTAATCCCAGTTCTGCTGTTCCCTACTACCTTAGCTTTGATCAACTTAAATCCTCTAAATTTAGTTTCCTCATCTGTACAGTAATGTAATAATAGTATTCTTGATTTGTGGTGTTTATAAGGATTATATGAGAAACCATATTAGGTTCAATCTTATGAAATTGCTTTTAATATGATTTAATCTAAATATGTTAAGCTCACGGCATAATACCCAGGACATGATAAGTGTTTCATAAAGGTTATCAGTTAATATTTATGTTCTTGGGGCTGGGTTTGTGGCTCAGCGGTAGAGTGCTTGCCTAGCACGGGCAAGGCCCTGGGTTTGATCCTCAGCACCATATAAAAATAAATAAATTAATTAAAGATATTGTGTCCAACTACAACTAAAAAGTAAATATTTTAAAAAAATTTATGTTCTTGTTATCATCATTATTTAAATCATACTTTAAGTTTCCTGAATTGGTTCATTAGTAGGTACCTGTGTATACGCTCTAGAATGACCCCTTATACTTAGTAATTTTTATATTCCCTGGACTACACTTTAATTTAATCTTATTATGGAACAAATCTAGGGACTATGAAATGAATTTGAGTGCTTGAAGAGAGTCTTGAGGGTATTAAACCAGTTTTTCCCCGTAAGTAAGTAATTATAATTCCACTGATGTTTATATTACTTTTAAGGAAAGAGGCTATAGTTTCTGGTGCACTATAACCTTATATAATCTTATAACCTTATGTAGTTTTATAAATTAAGGAATCTTTAATTCTTTCATAATTGAAGAATATGCTAGCTCTATCTCATGGGTAAACATGATATATTTGTATCTTTCCTCCTTTATTCTTTCAGATAAAGGCAAAGAGTGATGCAATTCAAAAGCATTATTTCATCTCTGTTCAGAATTTTTTCCTATCTTTAGTCAAGAGGTAGTTTATTTCTTAGCAACAGAACCACTTGTTATGCACCAGAAAAACAACCTCAGGGTCTGTTGTGTAGCAAGTGGAAATTACATGAATGTTGTAGTACTTTTACAAGTTCCCATGAGTATTTGAAAGCTTGCAGTGTTCTATTTTGCAGCATACTTGGCCATTTGGGAAAAAACTAGCATATACATAGAAGACAAAAGCCAACATTTTGAAAGCTATACATGTTCCTAAGTGTTTACCCAGATTCTGTCCCTTAAGGATAATGTGAACAGAAATTAAATATGAAGTGAGGAAATGTACCTTGTATGTTATATGACCAGTACCAGATATTTGACCCTAATTGTCATCTTGTAAATATGGTAAATTAAGTTAACTGCTTACCATTTTTGGTTCTTGCAGTATATCCTTTTCCTACTCCAAGGTCCATTCTTACATGTACCATCATTTGACTAATTTTGCTGAAATTTCATCCCTAATCTTGTTGTTTTCTAAGAATCTTCTGTTTTGTATAAATTGTGCAATAAAGCCCCCAAATTCACAGTTTTAGAGCCCTCTGTGGTCTGATTTTAATACATTTCCAGCTTTGTTTGCAGCAGATGAATTTTATGAGTTCTAAAGCTTCAGCCAAATTCATTCTTACTTCTTTTAGTGAGAATGAATACCATGTGCTAATTGCTTAGCTGGGTGTTTAGAATACAAAGATGACTATGACAGTTCTTGCCCTTTGAGAGAGAGAGGAAATGCATATTGGTATTATGACAGATAAATAATATATACCAAATAACTACTATGTGGCAAACATTATTCTACAGTTTTTTTATTAGTCTGTTAGGGTTGCCATAACAAAATATGCCAGACTGGGTGGTTTAAACAACAGTTTTATTTTCTCACAATTTTGAAGACTGATAGTTCAAGATGAAGGTTTTGGCAGATTTGACTTTCCTTAAGATGTCTCTTTCTGGCTTGTAGATGGCTCCTTCTCTCTCTGGTCTTCTCTGTGCTTGTGTCCCCTTAGTGTCCTGATCTTTTCTTCTTACAGGATATTCATCAGATTGGATTAGGACTCATCCTTATTTTTTTTACCTTAGTAAAATTTTAAAAAGCACTATCTCCAAATATAGCCACATACTGAAGTCCTGGGGATTAAGGCTTTGACATGAATTTGGGGGGCAGGGGGATGCATCATTCAACTCATAACAATATAATCCCTACTATCTAGAAATTCAGTTATTTGTAATACAACCCCTACTATCTAGAAATTCATTAATTTTTAGAGATGAGAAATATACTTTTCTAATTATTAATGATTATACTAATAGATTATTAATAGAGAGATAGCATAGAGGTAGCAGTAATGAATAATGTCTTGAGGTGGCAGCAGATGATTATAATGCAATGTTATAAGGTCTAAATTAGAAATATATGCACAGGGAGAGTAGAGTTCAGAGAAGACACAACTTAGAGATGAGCAAGACTGGGACAGGCATTCATTCCAAGCCGAGGGAAGTAGGGTATTAAGGTAGAAAGAAAGCATGTCCCAGAATAGAGTGCCTCTGTGGAGCAGTAGAAACAATATCACTTCTCTACTCACTGACTTACCAAATAATTCTCTAAGTATAAATTGTGTTTAGGAATAGAGATTTACAGATGATTAAGTGAAGCCCTGGCCTTTAGTATCTGTTTTGGAATAGAAGTCAAGAATAGTGAAATGGAGGTTGGGAAGATTCAGTTGCAGTGGCTGCAGAAATTGAATTCAGAGGATTTAGTGACCAACCAATTAGATATGGATGACAGAAATCTAGAATTACTTCTGAATTTTTGGTCTAGATGAAGAAATCTAGAAAGGAAATCAATGAAGGAACTACTTTATAAACAGGATGCTAAGTCGGCCTGGGTGACATTTAATATACTTGGATAAAATGAAGAT